TCATTTGGTAGTGAGGAGATGTTGTTTGAATTATTAGTCCAGCTGCTATATTATTTCTACATAAAGCTTTTATTTGAAATATTGAACTGCCATTCGGGCCACCCGCATATAGAAAACACAGAACAAAAAAATAGTAGAAAACGGTTCACCAGTTTCGTCTCAGACACAGGTACAGTCAGATTTCGCTTGTTAGGCTAACTTTAAGTGGGCTACGTTTCAGTTGGGCTCCCAAGTCAAACGTCATTTCTAACAGTGCTGATTCCTTTTTGAAATTTCGACCGGCTTTATGCAAAAACCGGCAAACGAATGGAGTAATGATACAGATTATTTCAATTCGATACACCGAGTTGCTTCCTTGATGGTTGTCAACGATATGGCTGAATGAGGTGTGAAACTAATTTCTGACTTATCCAGAAATTCACCCGAGATCTAGTTCATCAGCAATATTTGCTTCAGGGGATGGAACAGCATCGAAAAGAGTACCTTGGGAAATCGTAGAATATAATAAAATGAAATATAATCATTACAGTCCAATGACATTTGTGTGAATATATATGACATTGTATACTGCACCAAAAGAGTAGGGAAGGGAATGGGGGTACTCGCTTTCAAACTGCTATTATGAGATTGAGCAAATGTTGTTGAATAACCCATCAAAATAACTCGAGAGATGGGAAACTCCGAAATTATTTGTCTTTATGTTTACTTTCATTGATATAAGTGAGGGGTGGAAAGGATACAGTAAGCTTACTCCCCCATATCTAACTACGCCTATTAAATGTAGCACATGCTTTTGAATACATCTGAACATACCAGCTTGACAAGATCAGAAAAACCGAAGTTCTTGCAGTTTGAAGCTTTACTTCCATTTATATGAGTGAAGGGGACCCCCCCCCCCTCATCTCTTAATATGCATTCCAAATGAACATACCAAATCGATAAGATAAGAAACTCCGAAGTTATTTCAGTTTGAAACTTTATTTCTATTGATATGAATGACAACACACCCCCATCAGAAAACGGTGAACCGGCCTCCCAGGAGGCAATGCAATTCGCAGGCACACTTACAAACGCTGGTTACAAAAAAAAAACACCTCCGTCCAAAGAAACGGATCCAATAAACGTACCCTCTCGCGAAAGCACACCCGTCGTCGTCAAACGAAAAAATAAATTAAAAAGGAATCGGTAGGCAATTGGGTTCTTTAATTTTGAAAAATATTGTTGGCGTGGTTTTCTGAGCACAACGATATTTTTTTCGACCCCGTTAACTTCCATCTTAATTTTCAAATCAAGTTTAAAAACAACTTAATTACATCACTGTTTGACACAAAACTAACAAACTGACAGCTAGGGGCGCTAAGATATTGATTTTCGCCTATGTAATCACACTTATTTAAAATAGTTCCAGTGCTCCAAAATTGGTGAAGTTTTTGATTTCGATTCCATTTATAATGCAGATTACGAATATGCAATTACCTCAATACCCCTAAGGAGCTCAATTTTGTGATACGAAACTTTCACTGAAAATCAACCGAGAATGTACGAATTTTACCACACTCAACTGCGAAATACGTTCAAAATCAATTTTGGTACACTTTCGATCGAAAACACTTTATTTTTTTTTTTTCAAAAATAGTTGCGAACAAACCAACATCATAAACTGAAATTAAAATTATCGCTCTACATGCCACAAATTTCTGGGCCAGGAGAAAAAAATCAAACAACGCAGTTAGCGCCAAATTTTGTGATGCTTGCAAACATGATGAATCATGTTTTTTTAAAAAAAACTTCTCGGAAAGCGAGAAAACCACCATACACACACGTTTAACCGTCCGGGAGGTGCCAGCGCTAATTCCGCAAATACAGCCGAAAACTATGAAAACAAAGGCACGCACAAAACAGAGAGCAAACTTGGAACACCACCGTACCCGCAGGGGTTCGAAACTGCACAGTCTAGTTGCATAGGAGTGGTGAGCGTAAACCCAAAACTTGATAACTTTAAAAATATAACTCAAAAATGAAACAAACAAAAACACATAGCTGATTTTGTGATATAATGCTTTATACACATACACCTAAACTTTCAAGGAAAAATATAAAAATGTAGTACGGCCTCTATCTACAAGCCATTATTTTTATTATTATTTTACTTGATTAGGCTCAACCGAATTAACTTTACAGAGCCGAGGATTCTTGTTCACTATACAATACATCTTAAAACTATAGTCAAAAGGTACAACACAATAAACATTTTATCTTCCGCCATCCAATAAGCCTCCTCTACCAGAACGAGAGCCACTTCCAGTGGTTTACTTGTATGGCTGATTCGCCAACGAGGATCAGAGCGCTTCCATTGTAGTAATGGACGCAAAACATGGTCAGCACTCACACATTCATTACGAAACGGTTGTTTTGCAAAGTCGACGACGCAACGACTGAAAGAACTGCTGATGAAGAACAATGAGAAGGACCACACAATGGTTGCTGCTGAGTAAACAGACGATCGCGTGACACACATTGAGAGTGGTCTGCTTCTGTCGACAGCCGAGTGAACACTCATCTACAAACCATGAAAACCATAAAAACAATACAGGCAATGTTTGTCAATACATTTTTTTTTAAATATTGTTTTATTTCTAAAAATTATTTTTAATTAAATTTAATTTGATACTTAGACCTTTGAAATCGGCCCAGTGGTTCAAAAGTCATTTAAAAAAAGGCATTTCTGAAAAAACGATTTTTTTGACCACCCTAACATGGAAAGGGCACCCTAATGACAAAATATAAAAATACGGGTCTAATATCTTGCGATAAGAATCAAATCTACAAATTTTTACGAAATTCTAAAAACCACTATATCGTTTTGCTATGGAATATCGCTGCATTTATATCGCTGTGAAAAATATGAAAGTAGTAGAGGGAATTCATGGCTGTAACTATAACCAATGCTTCCGACGCCAGGGAGGCAGCTTCCAAACTTGGACATCACCAATCAGCAAATCAACTCATGGACCGGGGACCTACGGCTAACCAAGTTGGTGTTCGATTGCTAATCTGGTTAAGATGTTATGCTTAATTATCTTAATGATTAATCATTCAGCTCAAACCTGGTGGGACATCATCATCATCATATCAAAGGTAATCCATAAACCAGCCAAATTACACTTTGTGATTGGTACCAATGGCAATCTTGCTTTTCATATTTGCCAACATCTTCAATGCAGTAGAAAAAATCGATTCAGACAACGTTAATCTTATTTCAAGACTCAAATTGCAAATAATTAAGCAAGCTTCATGGAACGCTACCGTTCAGCTATTAATTTATCCTCTGCACCTATCAATAATTAATAGAAAATAGAAACACCTATTTTATTTTCATTAACTCGTCCTTTGGCTTTTCTCAGAGTGAACGGCGGATTAAAGGAAAACAGGTTCTGTTTTTCTTCCGAAGCAAGAGTTTCGTTACCCGTTCTAGCAAAGCCCGCCTTCGTTTTTCTTTTTCAGCATCCAATCTCATCTCTGCACTGCAGACTGTCCGGTGTAGAATTGTTCTCCATGTTGTTGTTCTTCTTCTTGTTGTTGTATTCTGTTGAACTAAAGTGCTTCAAAAGCCAATTTTCAGGCTCATTTTACCAACCTTGCTGAGCAGCTCTTGTCTCTATCGGCAGCAATAGAAGCATTGGGACGATTGGAAAAGCAGTCTTCGTCTGTAGATTTTCTGTAGTTGAAAGATAAAAACCGAATTGGCTGCAGAAAAAATAAAGCTTCGTTTAATGATCTTAATTTACGAGGTTTTGCACGTTCTCATTATATCGTAAGAGCCTCCACTTAAACATCGGTATGAGGCGATGTACTTATATAGCTCATCATTATGGAGTGGCAGGTTCGTTCTCGCCAGTCTATTGTTTCATGCGCTGCATTGCAAACTACTGAAAAAGCAAGCTTAGGGAAAATATCACGCACCCCCGTAGTAAAGTCTATTCGAAATATATCCTCACAACTCGTTTTTGCTATGCGGTCTAGTTTCACGAATGTTGGGCCAGGCAAGCAATCCTTTCTCATTTGATTGCTCGATTCACGACATTTGGAGGGTACTTCACTTTGATTCGCTAATAAATTTACTCAGCACATGTCTGAACACTCATTGATAATCGGATTTCCGAAAACTAGCCGTATTAAATTCTCATTTTCGCATTCTGCCCTCGGTGGAAGTGGAAGCTAGAGCAACTTTTCCGTTCAAGCTTTCAATGGGGTCTTTGGATGAGGGAATCGGTTATGGTACCAGGCGATTCGCTAATTGAGAGCCTATGCAATTTAGATGAACTTTTCATCTTTGTTAGAGCAGTTTTGGAAGTTCATTTTCAAGTGAACTGATCGACTTTGGTTTGGTCATATTCAAATTATCATCATAGTTCGTATTTTGTTCATCACAACACTGACTGCTTTTCACGACAGATGATGGGTTACTCAGAGGATGAGTAAATGTTTTCTCGATTTTCCTCATACTTCGCATTAAATATCATGAAAATTTTACGCAGTATATGAGTTTACTCGTAAGCTGAGTAAAATTATCGTATCTTTTTTTGATATTGAAGCCAATTTTTGGGGAACATCGAAGAAATTTTTACTCAATTTTAAGTTCCTCTAATCGACGGTGTGACATTGACGTTGGACGTTTGAACTTTACCTTCATCATTGTAGAATGTAGTGCGCACATAGTTTAAAATGACGAATCTTGGCAATTTCGGCATGAAGCTTTGCTGAGATCTCAGTGGAAATAACAATTTGGTCTCGGATATTGTTTTTTTTTTTTTTTGCACCTCAATAAGCAAACGATAGTGTGTAAAGTATTAAAATTTATCGGTAGGACATCGAATCAGTAATTCAGTCAGTAGAAGGTTCAATTTATCTTCGAAAAGTTCTCTAAATATGTTTTATGTCAATTTAATTCTGGTTGGATTAGCTAATAAATGTAATATTTTTCTTTCCATTCATTCCAGACTTTGCCTTGTTGTTTGTAAGCCTTTATCCGACTGAACCGTCAAAACAACTCAACCTCCAAACATGTCAATCTCCGAGTTCCGCAAGAACAAGCTTCTGTACGTGTTCAACGTGTTTTTCGGTAAGTTGTAGTTAGAAAACAAATCATGTGATATATGTTTATGCAAAATGTATGGCATTAACAGCAAATGTATGGGAGAAACTTTTACATATTTTGTAAATACGTTTCTTACGACAAATGTAATAGCAGTACTTACAAAGGACTGTAGTGTATAAGACATTTTTGACGTAGGATTACGTCTTTCGGTAACATATCGGGGGTGCAATTACAAAAAAAAAAACCCAAAATCAACCCCGTTACGAAGAGTAGTCAGGTTTTGACCACTTATAACTCTGTCAATAGCAGATGAATTTTAATTCTAAACATACAAATCAATTGGAAATGTTTTTACAAATCTGCTAAAATTACCACTTTTTAAATTTTCAATAGCTCACTATTGAAAATTATACAAATGTCCAACTGTTGCAATGGTGATCAAAATTATCACCGATTGCCTGCAAAAAGCGCTTTCCCTAACATAGATTCTCAATATGTGGTGGTGTCCGGTCGGTCGTCATCAGCAGCAGCAGCAGCAGTGCTTTCGGCGCGTGGCGTTGAACATTGTTCTCCAGTGCACAACGAAAGGCTGCCGGCAAGCAGCGAGCCACAAAAGCGTCCATTCACCGAAGAAAGAGGAAAAAACCGCACAGCTACTGATCGGATTCAGTTGCTCGTCGTGGGCCGCTGTGGGCCATCTATGCCAAGCGCGTCACCCCCGTTCCAAACAACCGAATTATGTAAAACTTGTTAATATTGCTTGCTCACTCTGAATGAACTCTCACGAATCATAAGATCGCTGATTGTGACACTCTGAAATTGACAGGTTTTATGAGACAAACATTTTATTTTCACCCTCTTCTTGTTTCTTTAAGCAAAGCATATCGTTATATCATCTAATAATATCATAATTTCGAAAAACATTTTTTATAGCAAGTGAGTGGAAGCAACCCTGCTCATGCGGCGAAACAATAAAAAATCTGCATACTTTTATGTAAATCTATACTACAATCTTACATTTCCCGGTTGAGTGTTTTAGACTAAGGCAACATTTGAAATTTTCGATTCACAGTGAAATGGATCGTTTGGCTAGAAACTGATTGTACCCCAAACCATTTGAAGTGTTTATGAGAATTACTAAACAAACCATGGCCCAATTAGTTATGGAACAAACTCTTTTACTTATTACAGCACTCCAAGTAGACGTTGACGAAAGCTTTTGAAGTTTATTTGTTGACAATGACAATAACAATAACAGTGTATTTTTTCAGTTCATAAACGCTCTTGTTTTGGAGACAGTCACCATGCAAGAGGAGCGTAGAAAAAATGTCGCGCACAGTCACTTGGAAAATCCATCGTGGTCCGCGTCCAAGCTGGCTAAAGTGTTGAGTTTTCGTAGAAACACCGTATGGCGCGTGCTCAATACGGACAGGGAAACCTTGAAGACGAATCGCAAGCTCCAAGGAAAGAAAAGATATGAGGTCCATCAGAAGCAACCCAGGTATGTCCGATCGTGATTTGAGTAAAAAGTATGATGCCCGTAGTACAGTGCAGCGAATTCGCTATCGCTAAGGCTTACAGACATACCACGCCAATATGCAACCAAATCAATCATTCAAGCAGAATACCTTAGCTAGATACCGTGCTCGAAAACTGTATGACAACCTACTGACCAAGCCCGGTGGGTGCATACTTATGCATGATGAAACCTATGTAAAGGCCGACTTCAGACAGCTTCCAGGACCATAATTTTACAAGGCAAATACTCGAGAAGTGGAACATCCATAAGAGTGCTGATTGCATGAAACTGATACTATTTAGACCGTGTTTTTTATTCGTCTTCTGTTTATATATTTTCGTCTACTACGTGATGGCTAGATATTCACACCACCAGGTTGCACGAATACAACTGTATTGCTAAATGTAGACGGACACACATACATAGTAAAAGTTAGCTAGTTCAATTCAAGATTTTTGGCTCATCTTCAAGCATATTGAAATCGTCAGCTGATGCTGAACACTTTGTATACAAAAATGTCGAGGAATTTCGTATAAATAAGATTGTTGATTGGCTGATTCCCATAGCCATCCTGGCCATAATTATGTCACGACCCCAAATTCATTATTGTATCACTGTTCTTAATATTTCTGAAAAAAATAAACTGTGGAGGTCTTGGACAGTTTCATGGATTTACCACTTTTACGGATGTTCAGGATCTTTCAGAGGACGATCCCATGGCCATCTGGATCCATTTTTAAGTCACGACCTAAAATTCTTTCTTATATCACAGTTCAAAGTGTTAAAAATGAACTGCAGAGGTCTAGGATCAGTTTCACAGATTTACCAATTTAGGGTTGTTCCGGATGTTTTGGAGGACCGTCACAGATCCAAAAGTTTTCGAAAAAACGCGCTACTTTTACGGATCTTCCAGATCTTCCGGAGGATGGTCCAATGATCATCCAAGTCCATGTTTATGTCAAGACCCCAAATTCATTCATATATCTCAGCTCGAAATGTTTTCGAAAAAAACCACGGAGCTCAAGGTCCCCCCAAAGTGGCCCGTTTTTAACGCGGGCGGCGGAAAATTCGCCGCGTTTTAAATGCATGGCGGCTTACGGAAGCGCTCAAACCAACGCGGCAAGTTGACGCTGTTTGCGCGTTTTGCCAGCGTTCTTTTTGCGTTCGCTTTCGATTCGCTGTCTGCAGCGTTTTTGCCGCCGAAGAATGAAATTATGGAAGATTTTGAACGATAATATTTTAGCTGCCCCTGGACCAATTTCAATTATTTTATCACCAATCGATCAGAAACCTTTCTACGCACCGATAACAATGCTATTAACTGTTGATTTTCTAATTGAAACTATTGAAAAAGTGGTAAATGCCAAGCATTGTCCAAAAGCTTCGAAATAACTAACAAATCCACCAATTAGGTGCATGCATGTACTGCTTCCCCAACACAGTCATCAGATAATGGTTCCTAGATGAAACAAGTGTAAGTGACATTTGCCTCCGATCTTCGGGTGTGTACGTATAGGGAGGATGCAATTGCGGAACATTTTGTTGCCAATTCAGAATCACTGTATCACCATGACTGCATATAGCCAATAGGAAGCGAGAAAATATGGTACCGGCAGAGCTGGTTGTCTATATAACAGGTTGCTAACTACGCTTTTGGCTTAGTTTCGATTCACCCGTTCAACGACAAACAACAAGCATCAATGACTGGTCGTGGCAAGGGCGGCAAAGGTCTTGGAAAAGGAGGCGCCAAGCGTCATCGGAAGGTTCTGCGTGACAACATCTAGGGTATAACCAAGCCTGCCATCCGTCGTCTGGCTCGACGTGGTGGTGTCAAGCGTACCTCCGGTCTGATCTACGAGGAAACCCGAGGTGTGCTGAAGGTGTTCCTAGAAAATATGATCCGTGATGCCGTCACCCACACTGAACACGCCAAGCGCAAAACCATCACGGCCATGGATGTCGTCTACGCTCTGAAGCGACAGGGACGCACTATGTACGGTTTCGGAGGTTAAAACTTATCACCAACGTAACAAAACGGACGTTCAACGTCATTTAAGAAAAGAGTTAGAATAGAATTTATATATTGTAACCCATGATTCACCCATTCGATTTGTCACTAAATACATCAAAATGATATAAAAATCAAATCTAATAACTAAAAAATCGAACAAAAATTTCGTAGTCCTACGTCAGCAATGCGGTCGTGTCTTGTACACCACCATCCAACTTTTTTGTACAGAAAGTGATTTTCAGGTGTTAAAATTAATGGCAAAAACGGAAACCTTTATAGAATTGGTTCTAAAATATTTTTTCAAAGATGTCTGAACTTGTAAATTTAATTTACTGCTCCCTGAAATTTGATCAAGATCTCCGACTATCATTGGAATTTCTACAATATTTTCATCTACAAAACTCCTTGAATCCCCCCAAAATTCTCCAAATTCTAGCAGAGCTTCCATGTAGTTCCAAGAATTTCAACAAAATTCCTTGCTCTACTTGGAATTCGCTCAACTTCTAAAAATATCAGTAAAGTGCTATAAACTCACTGCCCTTCAAATAAGTTTCCGGAGGAGAAACCTAAGGTATTTGTGAGGATAGTTTACCCACGATTTGTACAATTGCGTATGCTATGCTAAATCTAAGGAATATGTTAGTAGAACTACATTTATTTGTAAGGAGAATTTAGGAACTGTAAGTTAAATTCCAAGGGAAGGAGAGAATCCATAGAAGCAATTTTAGAAATAAATTCAGTTCTGAGAATAAAACCATTGATTTTTTTTAGGAGTATGACAAATGAATTCAAAGGTGAGTTCGGGAGAAGTGATTAAGTTGAACTAAAAAAAAATCCTGAGATCATTCATCTGAAATATCGGGAGAATACTAAAAGCGAACTCAATAGACTTTCCGAGAGTTCAAAGTTCTTCGAAAAAATCTTAAAAGACACCAGCAGGCTCAGAAATTATCGTAAACACCCAAGACTTCAGTATGATCATTCTTCTGGAAATATTCAACAGCTAAACATGCCCACAGGTATGAAGTTCTTCACATTTCACTGAAGTTCTACGAAATTCCTTGATATTCTATGAACTTCCGTGAACTTTCACAAATTCCTCGGAAGATATATTTTTCAAGCTTCAGCTTGAATTTCTTTGATGATCTACGAACTTTCCTGAAGTTCTGTGAGCTTCCCTTATGTTTTGCAAATTTCTCTGATGATCTATCAACATTTCTGAAGTTCTGTGAACCTCTTTGAAATTCTGCTATGTTTTTAATGATCTACGAATTTTCCTGAAGTTCTGAAAATTTATCTGAAGATATACAAACTTTCTTTGGAGTTTTGCAAATTTCTCTGAAGTTATGCGAATTTCCCTGATGTTCTGTCTATGAAATTTTCCGAAGATCTGCAAATTTTTCTGATGATATGTATTCCAGGGGAAGTTAAGGGGGTAGTCCACTCTGGCGGCATGAAAAATAGGTCTTATTCACGTTTTTTTGTTTTTTTTTTTTGGGTAAATAACGATCAATTAAAAAAAGGAATGCATGGTTTTGTCAATTGAAATGTCTTCTTCAATTGAGATTTTTTTTGGCGCGATTGGATGTCTCCTGTAGCCGCTGCACCTGGTTCCCCAGGAGACCTCCCGTCTGAGTCGTCGCCGGGCGGGACGTCTGGCGGTCACACCACTGGAGCTAGAACAACGATTTTTTTTTGTGGTTATTATCTGTTAGATGACCCAGTCTTGTACGTAGCCGTTTTTGATTTGGTTGAAAAATAAACATTTGGCGACGTTTTGAAAAAAAAAAACAGTCCGTTTTTGTACCCAAACATTGGAGATAAAAGCTTGCACTAAAAATCCACTTTTGATTCTTTTGAAAATTTGCTACGTACAAGACTAGAAAAAAAGGTAATTAACTCGAAAATTCAATAGCCGGTAACGGGCGGCTTGGAGCGTCTGGACACGAGTCCACTAACTTTGGAACGATGTCACTTGCGGACTTGCGGTCAAGTCTATGTCAAAGTAGACATTCCATTTTTTAAGTAAAAAAAAAGATTTTTTGAAATTTCCAGATTGGACTACCCCCTTAAGTTTTGTATTTTTTTTTCAAATATTGACATACTGTCTTTAAAATTCCATGAACTTCCGTGATCACCAGTGGTGAGAAATCTGTAATATCAAACAAAACTGTGAACAAATATCACTGAAATGAAGGAAATTGCCAAAATACTTTAACGCATTTTCTTCTGCTTGTAAAATAAAACTAGCAAAAGCGTCTCTTCTTCATCCAACGATGAATCCATTGCTCACGATCGCTATGAGGCTGCGAAAAAAAAAACTGCCGCTTTGGTATGGGTACCCACGAGAATTTCGCGTCAGTTTGAGGAGACCTTCATGAATTGGATCACTTTTCCGGATCTTCCGGAGAACGGTCCCATGGTCATACGGGCCCATGCTTATGTTCCGACCCTAAATTATTTCTTATAACACAGTTCAGTTTTATGGATTGACCATTTTACGGATGTTCCAGATCTTCCAGACACCATCCAGGTCCATGATTATGTCATGATTCCAAATTCTTTCTTATATCACAGTTCCAAATTCTTGCGAAAAAACCGTGGAGCTCTAGGATCAGTTTTGTGGATTGACCATTTTTAAGGATGTTCCAGATCTTCCGGAGCTCCGATGGCTTTCGAGGTACATGTTTATGTTACAACCCCCAATTAATTTATATATGACAGTGTGAAGTATTTTCGAAAAACCGCAGAGCTCTAGAATCAGTTTCATAGATTGATTACTTTTACGGATGTTCCGGATCTTCCACAAGACGCTCCGGTGGCAATCTGGTCCATGGTTATTTAACGATCCCAAATTCTATCTTATATCACAGTTCCTAATGTTAAAAAATAAACATGGAGCTCTAGGATCAGTTTCGTGGATTGTCTACTTTTACAGATGTTCCGGATCTTCCGGAGGACGGTCCCATGACCTTCAGAGTCCATATTTATGTCACGACCCCAAATTCATTCTATCATCACAGTTCCTAGTGTTTTTCAAAAACTGCGCAGCTCTAGGATCAGTTTCATGAATTGACCACTTTTACGAATGTTCCGGATTTTTCGAAGGACGTTCCCATGGCCAATCAGCTCCATGTTTATGTCACGATCCACATTTTTTCGTATACCACAGTTCCTAATATTAAAAAAAAAAAACGGAGCTCTAGGATCAGTCTCCTGGATCCATACGCATGACTGTGTTCTGGCTAATTATGAGCATTTGTGTCCAATAATCTAAATTATGGATCTTAAGCCACTTGCAGAACTAATAAACACACCTTTAAACAAACGTGTAACGACTCTTTTCACTTTAAAAAAAGTAGACAACCCTATTTTCAATCTTTTTACGATCAAAATAATCTACAGACCCTAGGAATTCTAGAGGTACCACACTTTTTGAAATTCATCTACACGCTTTTCGGAGGCTTCGTAGTTGGCGTAAAGTTTTTTACCCACCGTTTACGGAGTGTTAGCCTCTTTCACTGTTTCGTGTTGTTACCAGCATGCAGTACATCACACAAGTACACACTGTTGTCACTGTATAGGGAACTATCCGTAGCCCCTATATCGTTAGCCATTTGAGCTATCTGGTGCCATGTATACTGTATTTCTTGTCTAATCCCCGTCTAGTAAAAAACGATATGCCATTTAGCTTTAAGCTTCGACAGTAGATTCTAAAATATCGTTGTGTTGCTGTCGACAGTACAGTTTCCATCAGCTGTCAGTCGGCTGCATGAACAGCTCTTCTCACTAACGATTATACTATATCCACACACACTAAAGCTTGGAGTAAGGAAAGACGCCATTCTCTGCTTTGAAATGGTAATAAATAGCGGAAACGGCTATCAGAGCACTTAGCAGCTTATTTCCTAGGCACTGGAAATAGTGCTACTGGGGATAGCGGTAGATAAAGTTGTTACACATTTGTACAACAGACAAGATGAGTGTACACATCTGTCCTTCTTACTCGATACGGTTTTGTCCATCGTTGAAGCGAAATACGATAAATCAAGCTGTATGTGAAATGTTGACTTTATTCCTCGTTGGGTTTGCCTTCATTCATACATGACACGAAGAGACAGTTTAACTTTGATTTCATTTTCAACCGGTGTTCGTTTCCTTTTCCTTTTCATTCGAATAATTGTATAATGTTGTTCTCATTTCACTTTCAGATGTTAACCAGAGTGGCGAAATAGATCAAAAGGATTTTGAGCTAGCAATTGAGGTAAGCTTCTTAGCGTTGGGCTCGCAGAATACATTTATTTACAATTCCATTATATTTTTCTTTAATCCAGAAAATCTGTGAACTTCGCGGCTGGCCAGTCGGTAATCCCCGGAACACAGAAACCCACGAGAATATGCTGAAAATCTGGGAAGGGCTACGCTCAATGGCAGACAAGGACAATGATGGTCAGGTAGGTCCAGCTTGAATTTTAAATGATTTTTTTTTATCTGATATAAAATTACATTTGTTTGAAAGTTAAGCTTAAATCATCCATTCCTCCCAGCTTCAAAATACTACAGCAACCATGTTCGACAGAATGAAAACCAGATTCAGCGGAATCCTTTAGAAGCCCTGATTGATCAAAGGGTTTTCTGTCTAGAGAGTAGGAAGAGAACTGCGTTAATTCAAATTTATACATAGTTTCCGGGTAGAAGCTTATCGAACATGGGGTGAAGACTACAATTTATAAGTGTGCAGATATTTGTTCTGATTTCATCATCTTCATGTTCTTCTTCTTCTAAGCTATTCGGTCTCAATTGAACTAAAAGTTTACCCCTGCCCTCACAGTTGTCAATTGAATGCTTACCAAGCTTGTACCATTTTTGCATTCGTACGTTTTGTAGATTGCAGAATAGCTTTACGTAGCCGAGATTTAACCTACACGGTAAAAAATTGTCACATCTAATCCAAATGCTCTTGCACTTGACTTAGTCTGTCATGCGGCACTACGAATCAAAGTGATTTATCATTGATTCTCAAGTGATTTGCGTTTAAACACAAAGTGATTTGTGATTGAAAAATATGTGCTGAATAACACCTTTAAATCAAAATGATTATCATTTGGATTGGCACCACTGTTTTCATCCAGTGAATTTGATTTGGTTTGCACGCACATGCCAAACATTACTCGCGAAGATGGCAGGTCAACAACAAATAAAGTCAAGTGAGAGAAGCGTTAATTCCTCATATCCTCCCGAAATAATTTGCGTTCTAGAGCGTATTATGAAATTGATGCTGTATTCAATAATAGTGTATAATAGAACTTCTATTACAAAACATTGTCCAACTTATCAAATTTAATGATCAACGCTCATCTAGCTTCTACTACAAGCCTTGCAATGTTGTTCAATATCACATGTGACCTGGATAGTAATATGATACCATATTCTGAATAACATATTACAAATTGCAGTATGAACAAGGCAATATATATATTTAAACCCATTTTCAGCAAACATGAAATCCTAGGATACATTATTTAAACTCAAAGTGATCGATTGTTAATATCAGTATGGTTGACATTTCGAGTTCAAGGCACAGAACATCAACAACGATGTGCAATACAATCTAAAATGAAGTGATTTGCTGTTGATTTCATCGTGCTTCGATATGATCTCTTCCAAGAGATTTGCACATCGAATTTCAATGTTTGGCAAGTAGTGCAAATTCAACAACAAATCTCTTTACATGAACATGATGTTTACCGTGTATAAAAGTTCACAATCAGTAGATCATATTGGAACGAGTGCAGCCCAGGTTGATTCCTGTATGTAATCTCAAAGAGCCGCGATGTATATTAGGGTAAAATCAGGCTAATCGTAAACTTCTGAGTGAGGAATTGCTACGCTGACGCATAATTTCCTTAAATTGTCTGAACCGCCTCCAGCCGTCTTTTACCACTCAAGCTAACCCTAACCCTAGCTAAAAAGATTCATCAAACTTTCATCTCAAATGACTTGTAACTAGCAACCAACCCTCATCAAATTAAAGCCAACCAAAGCGTTTGATCCTTCGCCATAAAACTCTTTCATCTGTCTACTGTCAGATTTTGGGAAGTTTTTATTTGGGCAGAAATTGCATCGCAGTTAATTTGATTCTTAAATCTCTTTTAGTTGGGCTCGCAAATGCCACATAAAAAAGTAAAATCATGTTCAATACAAATGCAAATACAAATTTGATAAACAGTTATGATTTTCCCAGTGTAACGTATTTACTTATAAAATTATTCTTATTTATTTGATTAACACATCTATATTATATACTTGGAAATTAGATTAACTAAGATTTTGTCGCAACGGATTACTCTCTACATACGGAGGTAATTTCAAAGGATCTCTCAAAGAAAGTGCAATTAATGCTCGATGAATGAAAGGTTTTTCAATTGGTTAAGAATCCAATCAAGAAATTTTGTCTTGATAATCGAGCACACAAGAGAACAGTAGCGTTTAGTGGGGCACAAGTTCGCACTTAGATTTAAAATTAATATATCTTTGTCATCATAACATCACATAAACGAGAGTCCATTCCTTGATATTTTGGCCACAATCTCCTATGGACAACTATTAAAAAAATCATGAAATTTTTCTTAAATTGTTGATTAAGAAAAAGAGCTCTGACTACGTACTATTGCCCCACTCTTTCCCAGGTCAGCTATGGGCAAAAAAGTGTCAAATATTACCAAACATTAAGTATCTCAAAAGGACGCAGGTTTCCGGCCATGAACAGTGTCATTTCGGAACGGAAAAAGGCTGAGAAGTCGATTTCATACGCCGGAGAGCTTTACAAGTATGTGTTTTTGGCTATTTTACCCCAGTTTTTGTTTTTTTCACAACGCTGTTTTTCCTAGATTGATTTATTGTTGAAATTTTCTGAAAACCATTTTCTAAGTTCAATTTTAGGACCACAATCACAGTGGTCGCCATCTTTGCTCATCAATTGCACAAGAATTTAGTATGAAAGGTAATATATTTGGCTTCCATAGATCGTTTTAAAATATTGCGCATTTTGCACCTTACTGGACTCCGCACTTTGAAAGTGCGGGGATGAAATAAGTGCGGGCCATTCGTATGACTGATAGAGTTGTCAAAGTGACAGTTATGCTTATCCGAAGTGAATACAAAAACATTGGCTTTTGATTGTCTGTTCGAATCACAAAACACGATTTTTTCTACGAACTTAATATTTATTCAAATATTTGTCGTGAATTATACACACTAAAAAAATCTTAATTTTACTGGTGATGTCATCCATGCATGCAAACATTCATGCATGTAAACTTCCTTTTCACGTCAACTAGCAGCTTGCAAGAAATGTTGCAAACAAAGGTGGAAAGTTGCATACAATATATGGAATATTGCATGACATGTCTCATAAATTCACACGATTTATAATGTAAATTTGTATGATTTATGACGCTCCATTTATGTGCATCATAGTAACAGAAATGTACACAACTTTTTTTTTAGCTGTGTACTTGTTTACTCCCTGCCGGTATGTAAATACGTTATCTACAGATCGACCAGTTCAATACTAAATTGGTTGTAAGTTGCTTTATTCATAAATATGTCTGTTTCAGTTGATCATGTCTAATGTTATTATGAAAAACGTTCGTGGTCGGCGAGCCAGCTGTAATACGAAGTACCACTGTCTATATGGATACCATTTTCTGAGAATTTCAAGGACTAATCTGTCCGTGATTTACAAGAAGAGTAAAACTACAATTTCGAGCTGGATTCTAGCTTACGAGAAGGATGGCTTGGTCACGGAAAAGCAGCGGAAACAGATTTACAAAAAAATCCGAGCAGAGCACAGATACTGGATTGTACAGCAGTACCAGAACAATCCGGTATTATTTTTGAATGAATGCAGCAATCTATTCTATCGGAACTACCAGGTGACAATAAGTGCAGCGAGCATATGCAGAATTTTGCATGCGGAAGGTCTGACATGGAAAGCCCTCGAACGGCGTGCTATCCAAATAAGGGAGCACGAAATCTTTCGTTTTTTTTTTCGGAGCTCAACTCAATAGATTGGGATTTTTTCAATCTCGTGTTTTTAGATGAAGTGTCTATAGATAACCGCGGTATGTTGCGCAACCGTGGTTATGGGGTTAAAGGAGAAAAACTGGTGTATTGCGGTGAATTTGTTAGGCGTCCAAGAGTGTCATTTTTGTGTTATTTGGGTCAGAATGGGATGCTGGACAGTGTTGAAACGGAGGGAACATTCACTAGAAAAATATTTTTTGAATGCTGTCGTTAATTCGCTCTTCGAAACAAAAAGGTATATCGATATCCGGGAGCGAGTTCTGTGTGGATACTAGATGGTGCTCGTATCCACTATGATCAGAACATCGTATTGTATTTGCGATCAATCGGAATCATTCCAGTTTTTCTTCCCCCATACTGTCCTTTTTTCAATCCGATTGAATTGGTATTCGGAATCACCGAAAATTCAATGAAGCAAACCTACAATCAAAACCGAAACGAAAATCTATCTCATGTAGCCATATCTACGTTCTCAGCATTTTCTTCTTACGATTGTACTAAAATTTTCCGGCACTGTAGGTATCTACCCGGGGTAACATTCAATCCTACAGTTGGTTTGTCTAAAACCATCGAAAACCTAAATTTCGAATCTAATATGAGTGAGTAAGTGAAGTAATGTAACAGTTTATCGTGCTTGCTACAGACAACCCACTCCGGGTTGTTTCCATTCTAAAAGCCTCTGATAATGGCGCCGATCGGAAGAATTTCAGCAAAAAAATTCGGAGGCATTTCAGACATTCGGCGTTCTTGTTCATGGGGAGAAGCCGAGTGAACGTAGTTAGCCCAGAGCCTCCAGGCACTTGAATGTCCGGTGAAATGATGTCCATGAAGATCCTGAAGTTCCTTTGCCAGATTAGTCAAGGTCTGATTGTTTGGTGCTCCTGAACGATCTGCGTTTTGAAAACGAATTACTGGCTTGTCAGCCAAATCCCAAAGTGATCTACAAGACACTGCGTTTGAATAGATGTGCACGTGAATCCTTATTTCCTTCTCTCTCCCTGATACGAGTAGTTTGCTATCAATTTGATCGATAGTAAGACGTCGCTTCTGGGCTTGATCTTGCATTATGACAAACTTGCTCATTGCACTGACATCAGGATCATTATCAGCCCATGTTGGAACCTGCACACCGTTGTTTTCAACAAATACGATTTCCCGACACAAGACAGGTTGCAAAATCTTCCAAACACCTCGCATCATTTCCTCGACCGAATTCCCGGTAACTGTTGCAGAAGAGAATTGACTTCCCGAAGCTTCACCAACAAAACGTCGCTTGAAGAAAACTCCACGGAGAGCAAGTTGGCTGCTGGCTGGTTCACGGAGCTCAACACGTTTTTCTATTTTCTTCCGTTTGTTTGAAGATTTT